AAAAAAAAAAAAAAAAAAGACACCAACCATCTTTTCATTCCAGTTAACATGCGACACTGTCTAGGATTGCATATATTCTTAAAAACATTTGCTGACTGTTGGACTAATAACAAGTAGGATGAAATAATTTTTGAGGCATGACACCCAATTGCTATTTGCTAAATAAATGAATACAGACACAATGGTAAAGAAAAGAAAAAAGAAAAAGGTAAAATGAATCAACAAATAAGTTAATCCCAACAGAGAAATCTTTTCTAGGTATCACTAGGTGAACAAAAAATAAATCAATATAAATAAAATTGTGCTGTCAGATTTTACCAAGTTTTAGCTGATGCCCCCAAATTTGATGCACTACACTCTCCACACTACAAGAGGTTTGAAGAACATTTAAAAATTAATCCTTGTTTTTATCCACTGGTTATTCTAATAAATCACATTTATATGCCTCTATCTTTAGAAATTTCAAGTACCATCAACTCAACAATAATTTTTATAGACTAAATGCTTATTTAGAAACAAAATATCCCTGGGTAGTTTTATAATATTTATGAAGAAAATTATCTTGCCTTTCTAAGAAAACTGTTGTAGAAGATAAAAAAATAAAAGTACCTCACCTTATTTTTCCTGTTGTCATTGTACTTGATTAAGTCTAAAATAAACGTTAAGACTTCTTTAGGACAAAGATTATGAACATCTCTTAATAAAGCCATCGCAACTGGCATAGTCTACAAAAGAAAAAAAAAAGAACTTTTAAAAGCACATAACCTAACTTTTTGTTACTACAATTCAAACTATATATAGAAAAGGGTTACTTTTGGGCTGAAATAGGCATCTAGATGGAGCCTAACACCCCCATACCCCAACCCCTTCCACTGACAACATATCACAAAGCATTCTAACACAGGAGAAGGCCTGGACAGGAAACCAAGGGAAGAGCTGCATGACCGCACACCACTCTGTAGGCTATGGGCCTTGGCCCTCATTTGCTGGAGGAAATATATGTAATGTAAATTATGTAATTTCACTTCCATGCGATACAGTGGAAAAGACATAGATTTTAGAATTACTTCTGTGTGATACAGTGGGAAAGGTATAGACTTTAGCATATTAAAGTATAATACTTTAACATTATTCAACTCCTAAGCTCTACTACCTTCTGTGCTAGGTGTCTTTAGCTAGTTGCCTACTGAGTAGGAGCCTCATTTCCTCAAAACCATTTTCAGGATTAAACGATGTTAAGTAGATGAAGTCAATCTTCAGTCTTAGAACAAACTGAGTCTCCCAACACCTAATCCTCATGGAACACCCAATCCTCAACCTAAGGGAAAAAAATGTGAATTATCTAAAATCCAGCCTAACTTTTCCCCCTTTCCAAATTTTCATAGGCAACATTTTTAAGACAGTAGAAACATGACTTACACACACTGGTTAACTCTATTAGTAAAACAAAGTGAATTCAATTCTAGGCAGAACTACAGATGAAAAGACATCTTAGTCCTGAGCACATGGGGAGATAGGGATTAACCCCTCTTTTTACTCAAAATAACCATACCCTCTAAAATGGTGAGAAGGAAAGATGGCTCTTCTTCTTGCTTGAAAAAGCAGAGGTAACAGGAACAACAACAGTCAGTGTTAGTGCTGTAGGAACAACTGAGGGAAAGGCTCTTTTCCATAGAAATACCCGTCCTATGCCTTTTCTGCTCTTTGAGACTCATGTTTCATTTAGGCACCAATCTCTCTCTCCTGTCCACTAGAATTATTATCAGAAAGGTGCACTGGTATAAAAGCACTGACTTTCCGATTTTTTTTGACAGTAACAGGAAAAAATACATCTTATAACACAACCTAACACACATACACACTTTAGATGCAACGTATACAAATTTAAAAGTAAACCCCAAACACCATATCCTCAATACTACCCATTCTGTTCCCTGTTATTTAAAAACTACACTGATTTTGGCCAGGCGCTGTGGCTCACGCCTGTAATCCCAGCTACTCAGAAGGCTGAGGCAGGAGAATCACTTGAAACTGGGAGGCAGAGGTTGCAGTGCGCTGAGATTGTGCCACTACACTCCAGACTGGGAAACAAGAGCAAAACTTCGTCTCAAAAAACAAAACAAAACAAACAAAAAAACACTATACTGGTCTCATGATCTCTTCCACTAATGGTTCATAACTCCAATTTGAAACACTGACCTAAGACACATGAAAGCACAGTGGCATCATGAGACAGATACATCAGGCAGACACAGAAATTGACTTGCTTCTGTATCATACATTCGTGAAATGGTAGTACAGAGCAGTTCTTAACAATAAAATTACAGGATGCCACAGACTTCTTTGATCACACCATTACTACCTTTCCCAAAACCTGGATCATCCAGATTCTGCCCTGCTGATTAGATTTACTGCAAATACATCCTGACTTCTACTCTCAAAAGGCACCCCAATACTGCTGTGCAATCCTTCCTCTTTTCCCTCTATCATAAATAAATTTCAACTTGCCTAACATTCCCCTCAACATCTTTCACTTGTTTTCAATCTACATTCCACCTGCCTCAAAAAAAGGAATGTTCTTATCTTTTCTAAAATGGTCTTCCTTATGCTGCCCCACCCTCTAACACTTCCAGAACTTGCTCAACCTTCTCTATTTACTTTCTCCCCTTGACTATTCCATCTCTCCCTCTCCACTGGGTCTTTTCCCTGTGTCACACATGCCTCAAGTTTCTTCTTCATCTGTATAAAACAAACCCAAAAAGTCCTTTTCTCAACCTTGCTTCATCTTCAACATAGTATCCTTTCTTGTATCTTTGAGTAAGATCATGAAAGAATAGGCTTCATTAGCTCTCTCTAAAGAAAAAATGATAAATCATCTGAAATCCAGCCTAACTTTTCCCTTTCCAAATTTTCATAGGCAACATTATTAAGGAAATAGAAACATGACTTAAACACACTGGTTAACTCTATCCGTAAAACAAAGCAAATTAAATTCTAGGCAGAACTACAGATAAATAGACATCTTAGTCCCTAGCTCATGGGGAAATATGGACTAACCCGTCTTCTTACTCAAAATAACTATACCCCCTAAAATGGTCAGAAAGGAGGATGGCTCCTCTCTACTTCTAGTAGAATTGCTACTAGAGAGTTCTCTCTAATTCAACTTCACTCCTCCTTTCTAGTTTAATCTAGATAATCTGATCTCCACCCTATTATAAAATTACTCAAAAGACAATATGAATGATATTCAAATTGCCCAAATGCTGATCATCCTGTCATTCCCATACCCTTTCCTAAAACAATGACTCTAACCATACCACAGCACACCACCACTTTCTAAAAATTCTAATTGTAGAAAACTTACCATATGATAAGTTTAGTATAAAACACTACATACTTGATCTTCATTCTAAAAAAGATAATTTACAACGGAATAAACTGAGGTGAAGAAGGTTAAGAAACTTGTGCATGTGAAAACTGCTGGTGAGTAGTGGACTGGGACTAAAACTAGAGCTCTATACCGTGTTGTCTCTGCCTCAGATGTGCTGTCCACATTCTGGAACGGATGACAGAAGCGCTTACTCACTTCTCCATCCCCCGTGTAACCAACCAAAAAGGCAATTAAACATTTCTGGCCACTTTAATATTAATGTGGCCAGTGAGTTACTTGCACACAGATCACAAAATCTATAATCACTTAATCAAACTTTGGAAAAAATTTTAAAAGCAAAAAAAGAACAGAGGCAAAGAAAGTAAACACACCTATTATTTGAACAGTCTCCAACTTAAACTGAAATGTATAAAAACCATGAGAAAATTAGAAAGTAAACTGTACCTTCTGCAGAAAATAACTTTGAAAGCTCATAAAGTTGTTTGTTTTCACAATATTTGGACAACTTTTACAACAAAACATCCTAGTAAAGAGTGACTTCATGGCTGGTGGTCCTGTCCATGTGCTCACCATTGAATTTGCAATCTGCAAATAATTAGAAAACAAAGTAGTTTCTATTACCAATGCAAACACACTTTAAAATAAAACAGCTTCTTAAAAGTTATCAATACTACAACTGGATTGGTTTTTCAACAACTTTAATTCTCAGAAATTTAAAACAATGTAGTATTTTATCACCATTTCCAAGAAACTATACAAACTCACCCTGCAAAAAAATTCTTTTTTTGGCCAGGCCCCATGGCTCATGCCTATAATCCCGGCACTTTGGGAGGCCATCAAGGGTGGATCACCTGAAGTTGGGAGTTCAAGACCAGCCTGGCCAACATGCTGAAACCCTGTCTCTACAAAAATACAAAAAAATTTCGCCAGACATGATGGTGGGTGCCTGTAATCCCAGCTACTTGGGAGGCTGAGGTGGGGGAACTGCTTGAACCCAGGGCAGGGAGGCTGCAGTGACCTGAGATGGCATCATTGCACTCCAGCCTGGGTGACAGAGAGACTACGTCTCAAGAATAGAATTCATTTCTCGTTTAATTTTTTGGAGATGGAGTTGCGTTCTGTTGCCCAGGCTAAAGCGCAGTGGTGTGATCACAGCTCACTGCAACCTCTGCCTCCTGAGCTCCAGCGATTCTCCCACCTCAGCCTCCTGAGTAGCTGGGGCTACAGGTGGGTACCACCACACCTGAGTAATTTTGGTAATTTTAGTAGAGATGGGTTTCACCATGTTGGCCAGGCCAGGTCTTGAACTCCTGCCTCGGCTCGGGGATGTTGAGATTATAGGCGTGAGACACTGCACCCAGCCAAAAAATTCTTACATGTACTTATAATTATTTTCTACCAATTAATTTCCAAATGACAGTATTAAGTTTAGGAAAATATGTATGCAAAAGACTTATATTTTGAATAGTTTGTCTTTATTAATTTAGGCAGATATAATTCTAATATTTTAAACTTATCAGACAGAAACATCATGAATTTTAAAGAACATTTTTCAATCTACCCTAACTGAACAAGAAGCCAAATGCAGTGCTACCATTTATGCCTATAAGCATGCTTTACCAAAGTGTATCTTGCTTTACCCTATATTTTGCAATTGATATTTTTAGGGTATATAAAAATCACACCTGAAAAAAATGAAATTATGATTAAACATATTCTACAATTTTATGGACCTGCTAACATCTTAGCATACAGGAATCACAAAAATTTTACAGAAACAATGAAATTATATCCTCTGCAGATGATTATCAAAGAAAATCACTGCTTTCTCTCATATATCTGACAACATAAGAATTCAACTACTCACTTATTATCATTAAAAGTAAATCAAAATCATTATTAAGTTGTTAAAATATACGACAAATGGATTTAACAGTGAGAAAGGCAAGAGTCACCAAACAGAAAATGAACCTATTATCAAGTTTTTAAAAAATACCTGGAAAACATTATTTCTGGCCCTAATTTTGTCTGCATTTTTTTGGTTTTTGTTTGTTCTACCTTCAGATAATTTGCATCTAAAGAAATATATTTGGTGTTCTTAATTAACTTTCCTAGAATAATATAGAGTCTACCATTTTAAGTTACTTATCACTAATATGGATTCCTAAATCCAAACCAACGTGAAATGATTACTACAGTGAAATAATTAAGATTAACCAATCAGCCAAGCACAACGGAGCATGGTGGCACATGCCTGTAATCCCAGCTGTTTCGGGGGCTGAAGTAGGAGTATCACTGAAGCCCAAGAGTTTGAGGCCAGCCTGGGCAACACAGTGAGATCTCATCTTTATTTTAAAAAAAAAAATGCACACACACACACACACACACACACACACGCACACACACACACACACACAGAGAGAGAGAGATTTCATGTGCTACAATATAAAACAACACTCAAACCAAGGAATTGCTCACCAAATATATTATTTGCTTTAAAAATGTGGTTAATTCGGCCGGACGCGGTGGCTCACGCCTGTAATCCCAGCACTTTGGGAAGCCGAGGCGGGTGGATCACGAGGTCAAGAGATCGAGACCACCCTGGTCAACA